CATTTTTTTTTTTTTTGAGATAGGGTCTCATTATGTAGTCCAGGCTAGGCTTGAACTCACTGTGTAGCCCAGGCTAGCCTCAAACTCATGGCAATCCTCCTGCTTCAGCCTCCCAAATGCTGGATTACAGACATGTGTTCCCACCTCCAGCTACCCTCAGTTTCTTCACTTGCAAAGCAATGGTGATGAAATAACTCATCAAAAATGCTTATCTTGTTACTTGGCACATGCATGTGCTTAATAAACAAATGGTATAGTGCCGTCATGAATTCCCTTCCCATGTTTCTGTGCTAGAGGAGGGTTATTTGTTTTAGCTACTGGGATTTTCCCTCTTACAGGCATGACTGTCAAGAAACTTGGGTAACAGGCATAGTACTACCTTTCCCTCTTTCCACAGATAAGAAGAATGGGATTCCCAACAGCCCCCAGAAAGCAACCCTGACCCTGGATCTTGACCTTGAGAAGGAGCCAGAACCTGAAGCAGATGAGCCTCCGAAACCAGAAAACGCTTCAGTCTTTGTTGTCTTCCGGAAGGTTTGGCTGGGAGACAGCTTCCAAATAGTATCCCTGGGAAGAAGGAAAGAAGGGAAGGACACCCTCTCCAGCCCTCATCAGGGACTCTTAGACTAGAACGAGGCCTTACTAGTCTTTTGTCCATCCCAAAGTTATGGGGTCATGGTAGGTCAGAGGCATAGTGGCCAGGCCTAAGTGTCCTGCTTCTGGACAGGGCTTGAGTGAGAGGGTTGGGCCGTGTGTGGGGCCCAGGGCTGTCCTGCTGCTCACGCCCCTGCCTCTGGCTCCCAGATCTGGCTGATGGCGCTGTGCCTTGTGTTGGTCTTCACAGTCACCCTGTCCGTCTTTCCTGCCATCACAGCCATGGTGACCAGCTCCACTGGCCCCGGGAAGTGGAGTGAGTGTTGGGGTGCTGAAAAGGGTAGGGGAGCAAGGGGGGTAGAGGGGAGAGAAGAGTCAGGGACCAGGTGAATTGCCAGCCCTGTCTGTCCCCCAGGTCAGTTCTTCAACCCTATCTGCTGTTTTCTGCTTTTCAACATCATGGACTGGCTGGGCCGGAGCCTGACTTCCTACTTCCTCTGGGTGAGCACACTTGGCTGGGTGAGCCATGGTTTTAGGAAGCAGTTGAGACCAGAGGACACGAAATCACATAGAGGGATGACAGTAACATTTCCAGTTGGTCTGGCAGTGGAACACCAGAACACCCCCACATGGCTGTGAGCACCTGGGCCCCTAGGCATGCAGCTCGCATTTACCCTGAGCTCTTCAGCAGCAGAAAATGTGTCCATAGCTGAGCTCTGTGGCCCCGGGATCCAGCCCAAGCCTCAACTCTCATGCCCCGAGGATGTCACAAGATGGTTCCTGCACCCAGGGAAGGGTTGGAATGAGATTCCTGAGTTTTGTATTGCGTTCAGCCAAAGGGTTGTTTCTTTAAGTGAGACTGCCTGAGAAGACACAGTAAAGGCAGCAGACCAGAGGGGAGGGTGTTGGATCTCCAGCTGCCCACCCTGCTCAGTGAAGTACTAAGGTCCAGCTGGAGAGAAGAAATGTGCCTGGGGCACTGTTCAGTATACAGTGCCACAGATAGCGTTACTGCAGTGTGTGATTCATAAAAGCCAGCCAGCAAGATTTTAAATAGTTTTACCACAAAGAAATGATAACTGCTTGAGGAGCTAGAGATTATTACTCTGATTTGAACGTTACATAACTATGCATGAAGGGCTGGCCAAATAGCTCAGCAGATTAAAGTGCCTGCAAGCAGGCGCGGGGGCCGAGGGTTTGATCCCTGGGGCACGCAGAGAGGGCAATTGAGACTGGGTGTGGTGGTATGCTCCTGTAATCCCAGCTCTTGGGAGGCTGTAAACAGGCAGATCACTACAAGTCCAATCTAGTAGTGAGACCCTGAACACCCTGTAGACCCTTCTCTAAAATACAAAAAAAAAAAAAAAAAAAACCTGTATCAAACTATCACATGGTATCCCACAAATATGTGCCATTT